GCCCCTGGCTGGCTCCTGACTGTATGACCTCAGCTAAGCCCCTGGCTGGCTCCTGACTGTATGACCTCAGCTAAGCCCCTGGCTGGCTCCTGACTCTATGACCTTGGCTAAGCCCCTGGATCTCTCTGGATCTCTCTGAGTTTTATTTCTTCCCAGGAAAAGGGGAGGATCCCTCGTGGAAGTGTTGTGAGGATTAAATGAGGTAATTCCAGCAGAGCAGGGAGCCCGGCACCTGGCATGCAGGAAGCGGTGCTGTGGCCTCCAGTCTGGATGGGAGGAGCTTTGCCTCACAGGAAGCCTGCAACCCGGAGGTTCCTGGTGGCTGGGGCCCTGCCTCCTTCCTTCTACAGACTTGGCCTCAGCACCTGCTACATGCCAGGCCCCGGACTGACCCTGGGGATGCAGACATGTGGGACAGCCTTCCTGGACCACGTGACTCTGATCTAAAGGAAGCGCTCTAGGCAGGCAGAGAGTTGGTTGTTGGGGGTGGCCTCTCTGTAGTGAGGCCAGCAGGGAGGGGAACCTGGTGATCTAGGGACTATCCAGGAGGTCTGGGAGCCAGGAGCAGGAACATGGCCCAGCTCACTGCAGCTCCAACTTCTCTGGCTCAAGCGATCCTCCCACCTCAGCCTCCTGAGCAGCTGGGACCACAGGTGTACACCACCACGCCTGGCTGATTTTTAAATGTTTTGTAGAGACAGTCTCATTATGTTGCAGGCTGGTCTCGAACTCTTGCCTGCCCTCTTCTCTCCATGCCTGAGATCTATGCAGAAAGGACTAAAGGGAGATGGGACTGGCATTACCACCTATTTTAGTTGGACAAACTGAGTCCTGGAGGGGACAAGTGACTTGCCCAGAGGAATGCCTCGAGTTGGCCACGGAGTGTGCCAGGTTCCCGGTGCCCAGCCTCAGCCTGACCCTGGGGCCACAGGCAGAGTGGACTGCTCACTCCCTTATTGTCTGGAACCCCCTTGACCCCCACAGCACAAACACACAGGCCGGAGGCGAGCGTGCACATTCAGGTTTATTTCTTTCCATGCGAAGACACACAGCGGCGTCACTGGTGTAGGCAGTGTGAGGGGTGGGTCTTGCTACTCCCTGTGGGACACACGGAGAGGCTGGGTTAGTGCCTTAAGCTGGGCCACTGTGTTCATGCAGGTCAGCAGGGCCACTGACCCCTCCGGCCTCCAGGTGGTGTGGGGCAGGGGCTGGGGGACCCTCCGTCCAGGTACCCTGGCGTCCAGAATGGCTTTCTCCTCCAGGGCCCGAGCTCTCCTGCTCTGTGCTCTGTGGGCCTCCGCCGCCTCCACACACCTCGGGGGCCTCTGAGCTCTGTCCCTGGCGCCCGAGGAAACTCTCAAGTCATTCTCGCCTGCCTGGAAGAGCGCCCTGGCTGTGCCCATTCCTGGGGCATCTGCAGTGGCTTCCCCTAAGCAGGGCCTGTGGGCTGTCCTGGGTTCTGAGTGTGAACAAGCGTGTGTGTGTGTGTGTAGGGCATGGCAGAGCCTATTTGTGCGGGTGTGAAAAGGTCTGGGCATGTGTGCGCTCCGAGGGCACCTAGAGTCCCTTCGGGTATCACGTTCCTCCCGTGACAATCCCTCAACCATCGGTTCGTTTCTCTCCTCTCCCTGGGTTGCTGAGGCTGAGGACCCTGGGGGCCTGCCGGGAAAACACCCACGCATCATCTCCTTCCAGAGCCTGTGGGGGGCCAGTTCTATCGACCTCACGTCTCCCCTGTGTCACGTGACTTCACGAGTGACACAAATACTCAGTGCTCACACCCTTCCCCAACAAATAGGGGCATCGGTTTTGGCCTCAAAGATCCCATTAAGCAAACCCAACCAGTCCCTTCTGTATGACCAGGAGAGGTTGGAGTTTATTCCGCAGGTGGGGGACAGACGTAGGAACACCAGCTCCAAAGGACCAGCCTGGCACCCCTGAGCCCTGCACCCCTGCCCTCCAGCAGTCACACGGGCTCTGGAAGGCTCAGAGCTCCAGCTGTGCATAGACCCAGGGCCCCTCCCTGCAGACAGAACCTCTGTACTGACCCTGGGCCTCTGAGGAGGGTGGGGAGATGAACAAGGGCCCTGGAGAGGAGGCAGGAGGGTCCTGATGGGGCACAAAGGATGCTGACTTCAACAGCCTTGGGCCAGCCTGACTGTGGCTGGGAACCCTTCCCATGAAGGCGTTGACTCTGGTTGTGAGGTGGGGCCTCCTAGGGCAGGAAAGCCTGGAGCACCCTCTCCAAGGCCCAGGAGCTGCAGTCAGGAGGGTAGGTGGGGGCAGGAGAGGTGCCTGTGGCTGGAGCCTGGGCCAGGGAGAAGTCTAGGGAAAATCATGGGCCTGGAACGAGGGAAGAGCCGAGGGCCCTGCTTGGCTCCTTTCGGGGGTCCCATTAGGTCCTAAGACAGGCCGTGGCATCCAGGCCCCAGGCTCTGTGCATGCAAGTATATTCCCAAACCTGGTCCCCCCACTCTCTGCAGATGGGGCCCTTCAGCCGAGCCCTTCCCTCGGTCTCAGGACTGTCAAACAGACCCCCATAAAAACTCTGGCCCACGTCCTTGCAGGTGGCACAAACCCCCCTGACAGCCTGGGACCCCTTGGGAAGTCCCCCCAGGAATGGTCCCAAAACCTCCTCCAGGGAAGGCCCCGGATGTTTGTGGATGGCCAGGGGCCCAGGGCCAAGCACAGAGCATAGGGCTGGGCTGGAGGCCTGAAACTACCACCTGAGCCGCACCACACGGGGCCCCGAACTTGCATCCCAGGCCATTGCGGAGGCCATGGCAGGACGAGAGCTCAGACCTCGGCCCTCCCCACTGACTGACCTTGGCCAGGTCTGGTCAGTGCCCCGGGCTACAGCAGAAATAGGAGGAACAGGCAGACTGGCTTGTCCTGGGAGACATCCTGGGACCAGAGTCCTCTAGAGATGCTTCCGAAGCTGACAGGTTTGGGAAGAGGCATGCGGGTCACACAGTCCCGGCACCTGTCTTCACAGACACGCCTGCCTCTCGGCACCATCACCTTGCAGCAGAGGATGTCAAGTGAGGCGGTTGCTTCCTTCCCGGGAGCTGCACCCCCACAGGTCCTGCGGCGGGTGGCAGGGGTGTCCCGGGCCTGTGCTGAGCACAGCTCCACCTCTGCCCTCGGGGCCCTGGCTGGGATCGCAGCAGGCGTGTGACACGAAGCATGCAAACAGTCCGTTCTCTCCCCGCTTGAGAAAAATACAAAAGATGAGGCCCCACGTCTTTGCTCCTGGTCCACAGGCCGGCGTGTGTCTCGGTTGTGGGGCTGGGATTTTTCCTCGTCCTGGCAGTTTCGCTGCTTGGTAGAACCCAGGAAATTGTGGGAACGAGAAACAAGCCAGAGTGCTGGGGTTGAAATCCCAGGACACACCCGGGAGAGTAAACCACGTCACCCATCGGGTTTGCCGAGCTTTCCTTCCTCTCTCCAGGCTTTCCCGTCAGATGGCGGCTGATGATGGGTGACTGGGGAGTTTCCCTCTGAGTTTGTGCTTTTAGAACTTGGGGACAGGGGGATGCTTGACAGTCACCACCCCGGCCTCCTGCGGTGTGTGGGATGTGTGGGTCAGAGCTCTCCCGATGGCCAGGGCTGGCCTCTGCTAGCCCAGCTCCCTGGCTAAGTTTATTTCTTCTGAACTGTAAAGAAAAGAACAGATAAGGCAGAACAGGGCTCAGAACCCTGGCTCTTCAGGTCCCTGATTGGAGGATTTGGGTTTCTGGTTCCCAGTGGGAAATGGTAATAGGGATAAGGCTAAGGATTGGGGACCTCTTTGGTTTGCGGCTCTTGGAGGAACTGAACTCCTACCAATAAGAGGATTGAGGCCTCAGGACCGGCTCAGAGGTGGGCACTGGGTTAGAGGTAGGCATGCATCCCTAACTGAGCCAATCTGAATCAGTCCTGAGACTTTCGCTAGGTAACTGTTGACACTTCTTTCCCTGCTTAGTTACTGGACTGATTAAAATGTGTGCCACTCTGGTCGGGCGCGGTGGCTCACGCCTGTAATCCCAGCACTTTGGGAGACCGAGGCAGGCGCATCACTTGAGGTCAGGAGTTCGAGACCTGCCTGGCCAACATGGTGAAACCCCATCTCTCCTAAAAGTATAAAAATTGAATTCCACCATATACACTGCTTGCTTCTGGGGTTCCCCGGCTGGCTGTGCGGGGATTTTGGTGTTTACAAAGCACAGTCACATCCGTTATCTGGGGTGATGCTTACAAAAGCCTCTGTGCTGAAGGCTCCTTCCTGCCACTTGATACCAGCAAACACTGAGGCTTAGCTAGTCAGGAACCGGCGCGGTCCCAGGCCCATCAGAGCTGAGGCTGGAGCTCCTGGCTGCTGACTCTGAGGCTGTGCACTTTCCACACCCTTGCCATCGATTCACTCTCCAGGCATCAGACAAGCCTGCCAGCCCATCCCCGCTCGGCCGGTCCCTGCTGGGAACTGGTCGCTTTTCTGGAGTGGGAAGATAAGGCCGGGGCCCCCACCGGCCCTTCTCCTTCCCCCAACCCACCACCTCTGCCCCTGAGGCTGGGTACACGCTTGCGCAGTCCTCCCACTAGGCAAGCTGGCTGCCTCCTCTCCAAGGAGCTGGGTCTCTCACCTGTGAAGTTGACGGTCACGGCCACCGTGATGATGACAATGCCCATGATGATGAGGGTGATGCTGAGCAGCCGAGCCAGGCGGCCCAGCCTCCGGGCGCCGTCCACGTTGCCCTGTTGCATGCTACTTCGAGACTGCGGAGAGAGCGTGGAGAGACCCCGGGAACCGGGAAGCCTGTCAGCTTCATGGGCCTCAGCAGGCAGCCCCGGGGTGGTCCTGAGCCTGGGCCTCTGGAAACATCCTGTCCCCATGACAGCCCACTCTAGGGGAGAGGAAGAGGGTTCCCCCGGAGAAGCGGCCGGGGCCTGTTGTGCTGACCCCTAACCACGCCTGTCCCTTACTGGCTGGGGACAGCTGGGAGCAGAACCAGAAAAGCCTGGCACTTCTCAGGGTGGTGGTGGAGGGGGCGGCGGTGGCAGGTGGTAGGCTAGAGACTGAGGGCCTGAGAAAGTGGACCAGCTCCAGGCCAACTGGCAAGAACAGACAGGCCAGGCCCCCCGGACTCCAGCGCAAGGCTCACTTCTGCAGAGGCACTGGGATCAAAGACAGCCCCTGGGCTCTTCCTACAGCCTGACACACCGGCCTCCTGTCCCCCGTGAGCACC